AGTGGAGACATTTTGGAAAATGTGATTGAACTAAAAGTATCTCTAGTATAGAATACCAAGCCTTTAAGATGAGAATGACCACACAGCCTGTCATAGTTTGGATCCTAATTGTTCTACAAAGTCTCATGTATTGAATAAGGGCTTAGCCTCAAATACAATGTTCAGATGTGAGGTCTTTAGGAGGAGATTGAATCATGAGGGGTATGGCCTGGTGAATAAAAAATTTATGGACTCATATCTTAATGAACTTGGGGGGGTTATTAAAGCAACATTTGTGACTCCCCAGGTCCCCTGAGGTAAGCATCTGTGTGCTACTTGGTGCTCGTACCCACTACAATATTCTGCCTCATCCCAGACCTAAAATCAGTGGAGCCAGCTGGCCTTGGATGGAAACCTCTGATCCTGGGAGGCAAAATAAATCCTTTCTCCTTTAAATTGATTATCTCAGGCATTTTTGACAGAAGAATGACCAATGTACCTTTTTAAAAAGATTTAATTAAGAGAAAAAAAGCAAATCAGAAAAAAGGGTAAAAATAATACAGAATTTGAAAAACAATAACAGTAAGAAATCACTGCACTTATAATGCTAGGAGCCTGCAACATGGTCCAGACATTTCATGAGGTTTCATATTTAAAAATAGTCTTAGCTGTCCGATGAGGTAGGTATTCTTCCATTTTTTGAAAGAGGAAACTGGAGATTTAGAAATTGAGCCCATCACACAGCCATGGGTGGTGATTTGAACCCAGACTCTGTGGATCCAAAGCCTCTGTAATTCATGGCTTTCTCACTAGTGCAAATTCAGCATGAATTTTGGTCCTCCCTTATTCTTTGCATCAAAAGGCTTCACAAAGGTGATTCCTTAAAATGTCTGAATGACTGAGTGAACCACAATGCAAGGATTGGTAGGTCTCTGTGAAACACTGTTTCATTGCTAAATCTTTCAAAAAATAGTACAGAAATAATAAATCGAACCATCTTGGGGCTCATGGGAATTTACCTCTGTGATTGATAGAGTGAGCTGGCTGTCACCTGCACACGCTGTAAAAAAAGCCGTGTAAATGCATGAGATTGCCACCTGAAAACTGACATTGGTTTGTTCATTTTCTTAGGGAAAGAATACAATTGAAATGAAAGAAGCTGAGGGGAACCCTGAGGATGATTGATAGAAAGATACAGAGTTTAGATTAGAAAACTAGAAAAGAGAAAGAGAGGTTTTGTTATTATTATATTACTATTTCTTCAAAGCTTGCCAGCACCTTTCCTCAGTGCATTCACAATGTGTTTAGCTTTCCACCAGTCACCATGTGGGAGAAAAAGAGACAGAGAGAAGGAGAGCGAGAGCAAGAGACACTTCACCTTTTAGGAGATAATTGTTAAATTAGTGGATTAAAAATGAATTTGCTCTGCATTGAAGTACATGCATATGAACATCGCAGACATATGCTCATCACCCAAGGCCATTTTTCTCATCATTTCACGTCATTTGTAAGTAAGCTGTCTCAATCACTTTCTCATTGGTGGGACACAATACTCAATGTTCACGACTTAAAGGAAAATGAGTGTATTTTAGCTTCCAATATTTAGAGGATTCAGTGCATAGTTTACTGGCTTCTGTGCAGAAAGAGAATGATATAATTGGATGGAAGAAAGCTGCTTGTGTCATGGTGGCTGGAAAACAGAGAGCAAAGAGCGGAGCCAGGAGGGAGATACACCCCTGGATGTGACGCCCCAGTGATCTGCCTTTTCTTAGCAGGCCCTGCATCTTTATATTTATTTAGCTGCTGAACTCATCACTGATGAATATAGTGCTCCTATGATAAAAAAAAAAAAAAACATGAAAAATTTTGGGGATGTTATAGATCTAACCCATAATATGGGGGTCATGTTTATTTTTATTTTTTTATTTTTTTGAGACAGGATCTCATTGTGTAGTTCAGGCTGGCCTTGAGCTTGAGTTTGAGCTTGTTACGTGGCCAAGGCTGCCCTCAAACTCATGGTGCTCCTCCTGCTGATGCCTCTCAAATGCTGGGATTACAGGTGCTCACCACCACACCCAGGTAACATGGGGATTTTGAGAAAAGAATCAAATCCAATTTATCTTGATCAAGAAAGGCTAAATCAGTGTCAAAAGGTAATGTGTCAGAAGTTGACAGAAAAGAATTATTTTATATATAAATCAAAGAAAATTGAGCCCCAAGTGACATTTGATCACATGACAAAAGATAGCAGATATTAAAATGGCAGAAACCTTGGTACCCGATATATTAACAAGGAAATAATTTAGTTAGCTGACAATCTAAGACAGAAAGACTCATTCACAGTTATTTAAACGTGGCTTTTTCAGCCTTATAGTTTACTCCAAACATGTCCCTCCTCATAATTTTTTATGGTTTAAGAATGGTGGTCAACTTAAACGCCAGCTGGGTTACATCAGCATGGCATTGAGTGAAGTTGCTCCACCTAACGAAAGTTGCCAGGATAAACAGGTGGAGAAGAAGGGAGGTGTTGAGAGTTGAGGCGTTAAGGAGGCATTGTGGGTTCTCCTACGAGCTGCTGTCTGAGCTGTTGGTTCTCCTGGAGAGGCTTTGGTCCTCACATCGAGCATTGCTTTCTGGCTCTGGAGGGGAAGACATGTGCTGCCTGGTCTCCAGGATGAACTCATCACGCTCCTTCCTGGCACGTACCCGACTGTGCTCATCTTTGGAGGAGCTCGGGGCCTCCAAGTCGCTGAGGACAGCTTTGGTGCTTTTCAGGCTAGCCCTGCTCTTTGTTGTGAGTGTGACTTCTCAGCTCCAGCATAGAACCCTCATCCCACTAGCACAGCTCCTTCATCCTGCTGGCATAGACTTTCTGGCTTCCACCGCTGACCCTTGTGTCTTCCCGACACGATCCGTAAAAGAGACTGGCGTGAGCCCCTTCTTGTGGGCTCTGGACCTCCAGTTGGACTCGTGGGAGGCATTGTCCTGGGCTCTGGGTTTTTATCTGGACTCATGTGGGACATTGCTTTGGGGTTTAGACTCTTGACTGAATAATCTATGTCTTTGGTGTTGCGGATAGATTTCCTGCATATTCCTGTGTTAACTCACTGTGACCATTATAAAAATATTATAAACTCCGTGTCCTAATCCTAGTTGTTCTCTGTGTACAATCCCTGACTACAACATAATTTACATGTGATATAAATTACAGGCAGTTTATTCCAGGTACAATGATGAGCAAGTCCCCTCCCAAAAGACAGTGGGTACTTGACCTGGTCTACTCTCAGAAATCACAGGTACATGGAAATGATAATGGAACAGAGTAAGTGCTACTTACAGAAGGAGCAAAGTTGCCAAAGTGGAAACATTCAAAAAGGGAAGGAAAATACTCCCTTTAATTTTTGAGGAAACAGAAGGATGGCAGCTTACATAACAAACCATAAATTTGGATCCCCACAGGAAACTGTGAATATCCATCTTTGTGACACTTCTAGTGAATTCTTTTTTATGTTAGAATTCTCTACCAGAATGCACAGTGTGGAACTGGCCATGTCCTTGACTTCCATGCTTTTTCCAGAATTTAATTCCAGGTGGAAAATTAGTATGAAAACATACATCTATCCTTTAAACTCTCATGTATTAAAAGCTTGTTAATGGCTGTGGGTTTATTATTTTTACAAAGGTACTTCCTCCTCACCAGAAGAGTTAATAATGAGAAAATAGGCTCAAGGTCTTACATTTCACATGGTAGGCACTTAACAAAAATAAAATCCATTCCCATAGTCCCCGTGACTAAGCACAGGTTCAGAACTCAGGCTTGGAATGCTGTCAGGGGCCAAGCTCTTTGCCACTTAGACAGTCATACTCCACATCATCACTTGAGTTTTTGACAAATAATGACTGGCACTCAAATTTAATGAAAGCTTTCACTTTGAAGTGTTCAAAAAGAAAGAAAGAAAAAAAGAAAGAAATCCTAAGCACAAAATGGTATTCCCCCTAAACTCCTGTAATTATTTGATAACAGAAGACGAAAAAGGGAAAGAGCTATTTAATACACACGGATACATAGTTTTTCTTTCTGGAATCAGAATATAACCGACCTGCTAGATTAGAAGGTTAGGAAGTTCTGCTCACAGAAGATTGCCTCATTTTACAGACAAGGTGATATTTTACTGCATACACTTCTGCTCAGGGAATGCTTCAAAGATTACTCATGTGCAGGGACAGATAAAGGATTTACAAATCTTAGCATGGGGACATTTTACATCTGGACTGATGTCTTCTTCTAATCCTTGAAGACTGGATATGCACATTGCCTTTTAATGGCTGAGAGTAAAAAAAAAAATCCCTTGTATACCCTGTAGTATCCTTTTATATTATTTTTGAATTAGTGCCAGATAAATATCTTGATTTAAAAGTGTTGGGAATAAAATTAACATAATTTTTTTAAAAGAAAAGATGATGAGAGACATAATCACCTCAGATCAACTTCAATCCTGTTAATCTTAGGCTTTCTTCAATAAGAAAGTGGTTGAAAGTGAAATGAACAACTCTTGATTAACTAGAGATCCAGTCATAATTTTCTAATCTTTCAATGAAGAGAAAAATAATACTGTTAGGCAGCTTAGAATTTAAATGCAGTTATAAAACACATAAAATTCATTCTTTGGTTATTTAAAAGCTTTTACATATCAGTGAGAATAATTACTACATCAAAATTGGAGTAAAAGCTTCACCTGACTCACATAAATTATTTTTATAAAAATTTAGATGCCCAAAATAAAAAAAAAAAAGTTTTCAAAAGTTTGAATGTCTGTTGTATTTGTTATTTTATTTTATTCTATTATTTATTTTTGGAAACAGTTTCTTGCTGTGTAGTCAAGGCTGGACTTAAACTCACAGTGTAGCTGAGGGGGGCCTTGAAATTTTGCAATCCTCGTGCCTCAGCCTCCTGAGTGCTGGAATTACAGGCTTATGTCACCACACCTGCTGCATATCTGTTTTTGTCTCTTTCATTTTATTAAAGTATGAAATGCATCATGAATTTGCGTGTCTTGCTTGGACAAGGAGCATGCTAATCTTCTGTATGGTTCCAATTTTAGTATATGTACTGCCGAAGTGAGTGTTGCTTTCTTAAAAATATTTTTATTTTTATTTTCATTTAATTTTTCCTTGTGATAACTCAAATTAAATGTTTTTATTATGCTCACATTCAAAGGGAGACAGTGCTTTGATAGTTATAACACAGGTATAAAATGGCAGAGTGAGTACAAATTTTTCCAATATTAATAATTTTGCTATTTCCATTGTGCAAGTAACTATAATTTCTTTATATATAAAAAGGGGCTAATATATTCTTCATAAAAATACCATATATCTTTTTTCAAACCTCTCTCTAAAAGTGATTATGAAAATACTAATGCTAGTTATTGCTGTTAAAATAGAAAGTGGCAGAAAGTCTTAGTCCTTAAATGGTTTGAAAATAACAACACAAGTTCTTAAAAGGAAAAAAAAAAATAACAGTGACTGTGGAGTATAAACTAATTCTCTCTCAAATCTGTATGTACTTATTTTTTTCCTAAGAACAGATAACTTCACCAAAAGATTCAGTCACACATCATAGATCACAGTTAAGTGCTGATCGGGTAGAGGATATTTCACAGTAACACATAAAGAAGAAAAATGAAATTTATAGCTGCTTCAAAAATTCTAACACAATAAATAATATGCATGAGATTAATTGCCTAATAAATATACCTTGGCTATTTCCCCAAATCAGGAAACCTAATTTAAGTCAAATCAAACCAAAACAGACTAAAAACATTCCCAAAACACATTTCATATGAGCACCAGTGTACCTAGCCACTTAGATTTTTGCTTCATAACTGGACGAGTTCATAGTTAGGGTATGTTATGTTCAGAGATCTCTTATGTAAATGGTTGTGTCATGGCAGAGAAGAAAACCTGGAGACTGTCAAAAAAGGAGAGAGATTGGGATGAGAATGGTAAATTAGTCTATTTTTAAGGGAAGATGAAAAGTCAGGTGCAGTATTCTGCTGTGGGGCTGTGTCCCTGTGAGCTCTTCAATTGTCTAAAACTTCCCAAAGAATCTTACACAATTCCCTCTTTGTTTTGTTTGATAAACATGCACTTCTATACAGGAGTATATACCCAGGTTATGTATAAACAAACTAGCTGCTGCTAGTACTTTCAAGACACAAATTATTAATGCTATGTATTTTCCACTCTCACTCATGTTTGGCAATTGATTTGTGACAGTAACTTAAAAGTAATATTGGATGGTGTAACCTAACAAATTGCAAATTGTCATTTGATATTACAAACTTTTTAACACATTCATCTCAGAAATGAGAAGCAGTATCTCTTTAACTATGTCTTATGCAGGAGAATAGAGGACTGATGATAAGTAGAAAGTTTCCCATCTGTGAAATCTGGAAGAGGAATATCTTTTGTTGTTTCAGATCTAACCCAAGCAAAAGGATAGATAGTCCTTCCCCAAGACTTTCAATCTCTCCTTTCCACAGCCATATTGTGCAAATGAAAAGCAGATAGATTGGGAATTTTCTCTGAGAACATTTTTTTTTTCATCCCAGGGACCAAACTCAGGGCCTCATACTTTCCAGGCAAGCACTGTGCCACTGAGCCACATCTCTGGCCTTCCTCTGAGACTGTTAATCCTTTGTGAAATTTCATTATTTTATTCACAATGACCAGGCCAGGTTTGTGTGTGTAGACAGATAAATAGGAATTGCATTAGGATTAGCTACAATATGAAGTTTTAAAAACATTAATTGTTATCATCAAAACAGCTTCGGAGACATCGTAAGAATGTGAGTATTAATTTTTGAATACAGGTGATTCCAAAATATGCAGCTTATTGAAGTCTTAAAACTTCTAGAAAAAAGCTTGGATGGTAATCTGTGGTTAATTTTGGTCTAATTCAGTTCTTGACACAAAAATAGAAACTCAACCCATCCCTCAGTCTTGAGACAGGTAACTGTGCACATTCTCCTGGAGCAATCTGTAAATAACTTGTTTGAGAAAAAGTAGGGAGAAAATGATCTCTGTCCTCAAACATTAGGGGTCCGTACTGTGACTGCTGATTTTTGCTTCTTATCACAGAGATGTGTACAATGAGGCAGGTGCCCTTAGTTCTTGCCTCTTCCCATTGTTGCCAGCCTCTTCTTCCCTGTCCACAGTATTCACTAATGGATGCCAAAGCTTGGTGGCCTTCTCTCTCCTCACTTTTCTCTCTTACCCATTTTAGAAACCAGATATAAGAAACAAAAATGTATGCAGTAAACATTATTTTTGTCCAAAAATAAAGTGATTATCTACGCTTACAGAAAATAAAGGCACAGAAAAGATCTGAGAAGACTTAAGTTTATTCATAACGCTGATTATTGGCACAGAGAAAATTCACAAAGCCTTAAAATGTCTAGAAAAGGAGAGGGATCTGATTTCTAGGTTCAAGTACCAAGTTTTAAACAAAAAGTAATGCAGCATAAAAAGAAATAGTGTGAAATAATACAAGGAAAAAAATCATCAAAAAATACCCTTAAAAAAACATGAAATCAAATCTTCTAGACAAAGACTTTGGAGAACTGTCTTAAAGATGGACAAAGAATTGAATGGAGAAATAGGGAAAGTCAATAAATCTTTGCATGAAGAAAAAGGAACTATCAACTAAGAGACAAAAAATCTAAAGGAAGCCAAAATTAAATTCTGGGGCTTAAGAAATATAGGAACTAAAATGAAGAAATTCTTAACACTTATTCAAAGATAGATTTGGTAAGTGGAAGAAACAATAAGAAACTTGAAAATAAGACAATGACAATTATTATAAAGAAAAAAGAATAAAAATACTAATAAAAGAGCAGATCCTTAGAGAACTGTGAGATACTATCAAGACAGCCAACATATATTGTGGGAGTCTCAGAAGGAGAAAGGAGAAAAAGGGAAGAGAAAAAATAATGATTGAAATTATTCCAAATTTGAAACAAAACTAAGAAGGTTAGTGACATCCAGTTGATTAGGTTTGCATGAATACAGTGAAATACTGAAGGCAATGAATATATAAAGACAACATGTTTATTTTTGACTTACAGTTCTAGAGGCTGTAGTTCAAAATTAACTGACTCAATTGCTTTGAATCTCTGGTAGAGGCAGCACTTCCTAGCACAAGCATGTGTAGACCAAACCCAGTGCATCACAAATCAGTAAAGAAAGAGGAAGAAACCAGTGTCTCACAATTCTTTTGAGCATTGGTACCTAATTACCTGAGAATTATGCAAAAACACCACCTAAACATCCACAGGGTACTACTTAGGGGACCACGCCTTTATCATGTGGATCTTCAGAGATAATTCAACATTAAAATTTAAGCTAACTCCAAATAAGATGAACTCAGAGACTCACATAAAGACATCCTTTAATCATACTTGCAAAGGACAAATAGAAAACATTCAAATTAGTAAGAGATATGATTTATCATAGACAAGGTAAAAAATAAAATTATTAGCAAATCTGTCACTAGATAATTTAGATGTCAGAAAGCAGTGGGTTAAAATATTCTAAGTTAAAAAAATTGTCAACCAAAAATCTTACACATGGTTTGAAAACTTTCAGATTATAGTGTTATAATGATCTCCATGGTAACTATAAAAAGCTATAAAGGAAATATAAATTTAAAGATTTCATTACAAATATCAGCTAAACATAAAAATGACAGTAATGTAAGAAACAAGGAACAAATTATAAGGAATATAGAAAACAAATAGCAAAATGACAGAAGTAAATTCCACTTTATCAGGAATTTCTGTAAATGTCAATGTATTAAATTCTTCAATCAAAAGGCAGAACTGAACCACAAAGATTTAAAAACCCTCAAATTAACTAATTGTTAAACCTACAAACTAAGAGAAGTCTATGTCTGGGTTTGTTTATTGCTTAATCAAAAGTTCTAATAGCAATGCTCCTCAAGCTCTTTAATGAAATTTAAGGAAAAGGAGAACTTCCAAAGTCATTCCTGAAAGGTAGCATTAACTTGATTCCAAAACCAGGTAAGAATCCACCCCTGCCCCCCCAAAAGGAATTACAGATCAATCTCTTTAATCAACATAGATACAAAAATGCTCAGCAAAATACTAGCAAATAGAACACAATCAATAGTCAGAAGGTCATATTCATCATGATCAAGTAGGCATCATCCTAGGTATACAAGGGTGATTCAATAAATATCACCCACCACATAAATAGAAGGAAGGACACAAATCACATGATCATCTCAGTTGAGGCAGATAAAGGCTTTGATGTAGTTCAATATTATTTGTGATAAAAAAACTGAAGAAAAGAGGTATTGAAGGACCTTATCTCAAGCTTGTAAAAGCCATCTATGACTAAACTAGTGACATATCATCTTAAATGAGGGAAAACAGAAAGCTTTCCCTCTGAAATCAGGAAGAAGACAAGACTGCTTACTATTACCATTTGAAACTTTATCAAGAGCAATTTGACAAGAAATATAAACATATATAGAAAGGAAAAAGTCATATTTTTATTACTTGTAGCTAACATGATTGCCTACAGAGAAGCTACCCTAAAAATCCACAAAACCCAACAAGAATATTGAAACTAGTAACTATATTCAGTAATGTAACAGGATCCAAAATTAACACACAAAATCAATAACAAATCTATACACTAATAATAAAAAGAACTTAGGAAAAATATCATTCAAAATAGCATCAATAAAAATGAAATAATTAGAAATTAAATTAAGGAAGCAAAAGACTTACACAACAAAAACAGTAGCACTATGAAAAAGAAAATCAAAGAGAACATCAGAAAATGGAAAAGTACCAAGAAAAATAAAATACTTAGAAATTAACCTAAGGAAGTGAAAGACTAATGCAATAAATGCCATAGCACTTTGAAAAAGAAAATCAAAGAGAACACCAGAAAATGGAAAGATAGTCCCTATTCCTGAATAGGCAGATCCAATATAGTTCAAATAGCCTTACTTTCAAAATTGATACACAGATTTAACATAGCCCTGTGAGATTTCAACAGCATTCTTCACCTAACTGGAACAAACAATACTAGA